TCTCTCTCTCTCTCTCTCTCTCTCTCTCTCTCTCTCTCTCTCTCTCTCTCGGTTGCGCGAAGAAAGGGACAATCCGCGCTCGCCTATCTAGCCCCGACAAAAAGAAAAGAATCCGTAGTCTTCATAAATAAATTTACGTCGGATCAGAGAGGCGAAAAACTCCCGCTAGCACCAGGATCGAGGAGACATTCGTCGCAACTGCAGCGTGCGACGAATATCTTCTCCCTGTCCCTTTCTCTTTTTCTCTCTCTCTCTCTCTCTCTCTCTCTCGGCGCTGCTGTTGCTTCGCTCCCGACATTCTGCTGTGTTTTCGCTTACCCCGCTGAACTTCTACCTCTTCTCCTTTCTCCCCGCTGCAGAATTTTTCACAATGCGCGCATTTTTGTCCCCCCCCCCCTCCTGATCTCGGGGCAAACGTCGTCGCGGAATCACGCTCGATCTCTTCCCGTCTTTATCTCCGCTCTTTTCCCGCTTCTCCTACACGCAACACGTAAACATCTCCTCGTGCCGCTTAACTCCGATTGCCGTCGCTCTGTCGATGATCTTACGAGAGTTCGCGACGCCGAATTACAACGAGATCCCATTCACAAGACGCAACTTAACCTAACACTAACCTAACTTTCTTACACAAAGGTAGATTGCGCGCGACAACGAATAGCACGATCGAACATACGACAGTATTGTTACCCTGTTTTTATAAAAGAGAAGACAGAGATCACAGTCTATCTCCCTTATAGAAATATCATACTAAAAATCATTGATAATTACTTATTTTCAGTATTAAAAATACTGGATAATAAGTAATTATCAATGATTCTTAGTATGATATTTCTATAAGGGCTGCTCATCTTCCATTTCCCATCGTGTGATTTCGCGCAACTGCAGCGACCGCGAATATCCGAATAATTAACATGACAATACCACTAAATCCAACCTAACCTAATCCTAATCTATTTCATATTTTACTTTTATTACAAAAACTTTTATTACAAAACTTTTATTTACAAGACTTATTTACAAAAGTGGAATAGTAGTATAACGAATAGTATTATTAAATATTTGTATATATTCTATTTATAAATAAGAAGACAGAGATCGGTCCACCTGTTCATTTCCCATTTCCCTGCGGTGAAAATGTCCGCTCGGTGACGATCGCGTACACCCGAATAATTAACGTGACAAATAGCACTAAACCCAACCTAACCCAATCTTACCTTTATTAAAGGTGGATAGCACGCAATCACGAACAGTACTATCAAATATTTGTATATGTTATTCCATTTATAAGTAAGAAAACAGAGATCGGTTCACCTGCTCATTCTCCATTTCCCTGCGGTGAGGATCGCGAGTACCGGAAGAAAATTAACATGACAAATAGTACGTAACCTCACCTGACTTTCAATTACGAAGTAGATTGCGCGCACGATCGCCAGTAACGCGATCAAATATTTGTGCACGTTATTCCACTTGTAGGGAAGAAAACAGAAATCGGTCTATCTGCTCATTCTCCCCATAGGTGTAATTTCCCTTCGATGAGAATGACGATCGCGAGCACCGGATGAATTAACGCGACAGATAACACCAACTGTACCCCGGCGAAGTACAATCCCCCTTCACGTCTGTTTGTGTCGCGCCACAACATTTCGCTCAAGTCTTCCCTGGCAGCGTCTTCGAGTCCTCCTGAGAAAGAGAGAGAGAGAGAAGCGCGCCACGTGATGTTGTCAACAGCACATCGCGCGCGCGACGCGCGCTCTCATTCAAATATATCCACTCGCTTCCTATACTTATGTAATTCGCTCTTAAATCTTCGCAACAGCTCGCCTGTTGTCGAACTTGCCGCGCAGAACTTACGCGTCGTCTCGCGAATTCACTAGCTTTCACTTGAAAATCTCGCTTTTGTTGTTGAATCAGCTCGCACAAGTTACGTTACACGCCGGCGTGTACCTGCGTGTACCTGAGAGCGTGTTCCCCGGGGAACCCGGTCGTGATAAATCTATCTTGTCTGATCCCTTTTGTCCATCTTTTTTTCTAATCCCCTTTTCGTGCCATTTTCCTTCTCACGTTGCTGCGTGTCCTTTACGATAATCGCAAGGTAAAATCCGCAAGGGGCGAAATTGCACCTCCGTTCTCGCAGTTCTTTCGCAAAGGCACGAGTCGCGCGTCCGCGGCTAGACGAATACACGTCGTAAAACCGTCCGGCAGGAGCTGACCGTAGAATTGGAACGTTCAGTTTCGGCGCCGGGTAAAATCCAAAACGACCGTGCTGACCGCGCTCTGCGAAGGTTCTTTACGATTCCGCGTGCTCAGGGCGAGACGATTGTCTCGCATGGTCGGACGAAGGCCGGTCCCGGGAACACCGAACGCTGGTTGGCTTGCTCTCGGCAGAGCCGCGGGTTGCCGGCGTCTCGCGGCGCGAACACGAATGTGAAAATACACATTGAGACGGCGTAGTTCCACGGCAATCGATCGTAACGACGTAACGCTCTCTCATGAGCTCTTATCTCGAAAACAACGTGACACCGGTTTTGAAACATCACAAACTTGGACGGGAGTGTCGAATGTTTCGATATCAACGGATCTTCGGGACTCTGCTTACGACACTTTTCAGATAAAAAGAGCAGAGCTATTTACTAACTAGTGTCACTAGCTAGGGTGGTTGTTGACAAAAATAAGAAAAAGAATGAAGGGGAGGGAGAAAGAGAGAAGAAGGGAGAATATTTAAAAATGCCTTTTGACTAAAAACTACAAAATCTTCCTCCCATCTTTCTAACGGCGGTGACTGAGACGGAGGCAGTCGGCTTGCAATTGTGCGTGTATGAAATCGAGTGGACATATTTCTCTCAGCGCACACGACGGTTTACCCGTATCCCCATCAATTTCGCCCTGTAAGTTCGCGATGTTAATAAAATTCCCCGCAGAATGCGGGCCTGCCACTTTGGGGAATCGAGCATGAGGATCGGTGCCTGACACAGTCCGTGTCGTCCAACGCGCAATAATCATAACGTTTGTGGTAACGTCCGAAAAACAGAAAAACCAAAAAATAGAGGCCCGTAATTAATAGTTGTTACTTGAAGTTCCTCTCAAGTTACATACTCAGATTTGATTTCAGGGTCGACGAGAGTTTTCCAGTTGAATCGCGATTACAGACGCAATGTCACATATATTACACAATTCAATTGAAAAATTTCGATCCGACTCTAAATAAAAATCTGGATATCTCATATGAGGCAGACTTCAAGTGACAGTTATTGATAATGATGGCCCGAAAGGAAAAACGCGGAGACGAAGATTACGCGCGACGCGGCGTGATTATCGTGCACGAGGAAGTGTCGCATCGTATCAGCTCGCACTGTCCGCCGTTCTAATTCGTGCAACGATAGGTTGCACAAACACACGCTATTATCCCGTAGGAAGGGCGAAGGACAGAGGTTAATCCAGCGCGCTCACGGCAATCGCGTGAAAAGCCCCGTAACGTTCGCCGACGGCGACGGAAATTACCTGCGATTAAGCAGAACTCCACTGTGACGACTAGTCGAACGCGTCCGACAGACGAGGGCCTCTCGTCATCATCCTGGCGCGACGAGAGCGAGAGTCGTCGTCGGGTGCAGCACGGCAACAACACACGGTTCCTCACTGGCACATCGCACGGCGGAAACGAGTGTCAAGCGGCCGACGACGGGGGTTGCTCTCCGCGACGTGCCTCCCGTCTGTTCCCCGACAGCAGCAACGGTGAAACAGCGCTACTCGACGGCGACGACGTTCACCGCACTCGAGAAAGTTCACCGTCGTTTTCAGCGAGAGGAACTCGCTTCGACGAACAAATTGACGGAGAGGTTGGTTGGTTGATTAGTTGGTTGGTTGGTTGGTTGGTTGGTTGGTTGGTGGACGGATGGACGAGCGGGCGAAGAGTCGACGAACCGGTCGTCGCCTACCGTTCGCGACGAAGATGCTCGCGGTGGCACCTCTACATCTTGCACGGGCGGTCGCGGTTGGCGCAGAACGCAGAGCCGCACTCGCGACGAGCCGTCGTCTCTCGTCGGCCGACGTGCGCGACGTGTCCAGCCCGGCAGCTTCGCATCCCTTCACGATATCCTGTCGTCAGGATACACACACACTGACACACACCGCCCGGATAAGCGTCCCCGTCGGCCCGCCAATCGACCACGGCTGCGACGACGCTGCTGCACGGCTGTCAGTTGACGCGCACCGTCCCCGCTTCGGGCATATCTCTCTTTAATACAGGCGCCGGTATCGCGCCGGGCGCAGCTTAAAGCCGCGCTCTCGTCCGCGTAGAACGTCCTCGGGGAGAGCGAGCGCGGCACACTCACGACGCAGAGCGCTCCCCTCGTCGCGTTCCGCGACGTTCCGCGCCACTCACCGACGAGTATCGCCGCGATGATCGAACGGCTAGCCCCGCGACGGCGTTCGATCGTCCGGTTTCGAAACGCGACTCCCGGGGGACAACAACCACCGGCACACAGCAGACCTCTCGAGGTAGACGAGCCGCGAGCACGGCGGATAAAAGGTCGCGCTGGGCCAAGCGGGATCGAACTTTTGGAGGCCGGAGCCGCGCTACTACACTTCCGGTAGACCCGGACGGGATTGCGTGCGACGCAAACGCGACGTAACCACCGACGTCTACACCGTCGAGCGACCGAATTGTGACTGCGGTCTACGGCTCCGCACGGCGGTGGCCCCACCGTCGCGCCGCGCCAGGGGCGGAGCGCGTCTGTGCCGCCCCTGGCGCGCCCATCAGGCGGGGGCGGCGGAGGCCACGACCCCTCGCGGCCGCCGCCTTCTTCGCCGCGAGAGTCCTCGCGCGCGTTCGCCTCCGGATCGCCACGGCGAGCCGACGACGGGATTTTTTCCTTGGATCAAGTAGCCGCGCGAAAATCCTCGGCCAATCACCGCCAAGCGTTCGGACGATCGCGCAGGTGACGGTAATTATTGATGCGCCGTGCGCTGAAAAATTCCCCCTCTTATTCGACAAGTACGTTGTTGTCGCTTCTTGTTGTTGCTGTTGCAGGTGTGTCTTTCGTACGTTCGCTCCCGATCTCGCGATCTTGCGCAAACGCGTATGCTCGAAAATCGAAATTTCCGATTTCTCTTGCGCACCCGATTCGAGACACTTCGTACGGGACTGTACCTGAACCGCTTCGCGGTAACTTCGCTCGTAATTCTCCCGCGCCGAAATGTGTGACGAACGTTGCACACGTTACGGTCATCTTCGCCACTGCGAAACTCGACATTCGCGCATATTGGCGTGCGGCGTTCAAAACGAAACGTGCCTTAAGGTCGAAGTAACTTATTGCTGTATATAATCTAACTGATTTGAAAACGCTACGCATCCGATGGATTTGAAACTGATTTACGACAAGGAAGATCGACAGCTCTTGTCTGTTTAAAATTGCACAGACTCGTAGCCCCTGAATCCAAAAAAGAGACAAAGAGAGGAAGGTTGCCGGTCTGCCATGCCGGAGGTCTCGCACAGCGGTGTCCCGCTTACTTCATAAAAGATCTGGAACCTTGAGACGCCAAAGAGGAATCCCATCTCTGAGCGGCGAATTAGTCTAACCTGATCCGACTTAAAGTAGCCCCGACGAGACTCAGCGGAGACTCGACTTCACGGTCAGCTCCACGTCGGACTTGCCACGTCTCCGGCGGCCACGGGCGGCGCTTCTGGCGAGGGTCTCCGGCGTGCCGCGACCGGCACTATCCAGAGGCTCTCCAGGTTACGTTCGCGAAGAACGCGACCCGGAGGAACGATCATCCGATTACGCGGATGTCGCGTGCGCGTCAGCATGGCGGCTCGGCGCCGCGGTCGAGGCGGTTCCGTCAGCCTCCCTCCAACGGCGCGCCGCGCCCCCGATAACGAGGGCGCCCCGTGCGCTTTTTGCCTTGCACACGAACGCTCGCCCCGCCCCACGGGCGCGCGATCAAACGCCATAACGCGTGCGCCGCCGGCCGCGGGCTTGTATGACGCGCGTTCGAATTACCGCCGCCATACTCTTTTCACGATGGAAAGCACGCTCGAGCCGACTGCGCCACGACGCCGGCTCCTCTAGTGCTGTTTGCTCCTCGTTCACGCCGTCGGTGCGACCGCCAGGACGTCGGTACCGCACTGGCGATACCGATCGAGAACGATCGAACGTCCTGTAACGCCCGCTGCGGAACGACTGTCACCGACGAGTGACACCGAACATCCTTCGAAATACCCGATTTGCTGGATGACATTTGAAGGACGCACGCAGGACGAACGTGCGCACACCGGATGTCCATTCAAATGTGTGCGAATCCCACGATATCCTGGATTTTATTGTTTAATATGTTTGAGACTGTCAATGATATACCAGACAAACTCCTAGACAGACACATCTCCGGGATCCAACAGGTGTTCCTAATACACATTTGATATCCTACAAAGGTGCCTTTGATATGTCAAAGGTGGATGTTGAGGCAATATTATGACTTATATCGACATCCAAAAGACATTTTTGGATCAAGATGTTCACATATATAAGTCTCTCAAGAACTTTCAATTATAACCTTGAACTTATTTGTCTCTGCTTGTTGCAAAAATTCCTCAGTTTCATTTGTAAGAATTGTTATTATTCTCGAATTTAGATGTAATACGATATTTTCATAACATCGATTTAATCGGCCCGACAATATGGATAATTGCGTGTTTTCTCTCTCTGCGATTTGCAAATGCGCTTTCAACATTTGTTTCCATTTAGGCTTGATTTCGTCCGCTTGGTGCGAGACACCACTGTATTACTTGATTGCCAGTGTAATTATAGCAAACGTTAACTTTAAACTAGCTAACTTTTCTATGCTGCGTAGTATTGATAATTTATCTGATAAATTATCGATACGTGTAAAAAGTAGAATAACATGAAGAATATTAGATGCGTATTTGAAATATCGCTTAAGTCAACAAAAAGGAAAAGAAGAAAACGAATATTCAACACCGATCATTCAATAGACTTCAGCACATGAATATATGAATGAAATTATTCTTCTCTATTTGCGTGGTAACGAAAATTTAATAGAGAAAGGGCACCGCACATTGCTGTCGAATTTAGAACATTAAAAACGCAGCCGTATTTACATTAATTTACTATCTAATTTGTCAGTTGATCAAATCTCATAGAGAAAAAGATACAAATAAAAAAAAACCCGAACTTGCCGAAACCCGGGATTGAACCGGGGACATTTAGATCTTCAGTCTAACGCTCTCCCAACTGAGCTATTTCGGCTCACGGGTAATGGTTGGTCGATCAACTGTCTTGTAGAACGTGGCGCTGTAGTATTCTTGTATATTATTACCACTACACTATCGCTATAATATCTCTGACCGCTACCGTTGCTCCCTCCTTTCAACGTGCAATTATGGAATCCTGTTATAGTAGCCTTCAGACATTTCGCCTGATAGTGGATGACAAGACAAAAATTTTAACAAATTATCCACTTGCACAGTCATTCCAGTTCTTCAGAAACAGAGAAACGTAAAACAACGTGTGCCAAAATGCGGCAAGCGATGGTAAATTGTAATCAGGTACAGACTGAGGTGATATCAGAGGGCCGGTGGATAGAGGAAGAACCTTTACCTCATTCCACCAAACAAATAGTGCTCGTTATAACAGGAAATCCGGGTGTCCCTGGATTCTACGAAAATTTTATCAAGGCAATCAACTCGAAACTTTCATTCGACACTCCTGTGTGGATCATCGGTCATGCTGGACATGTGCAACCCCCAGAGGATCTAGCAATTGCTATGCCCACTAATAAGAAGTGGCGAGATCACTATAGTTTGACAGCTCAAGTTCAGCATAAGGTAACACATTCACAGTTAGATCCTATCTGCTTATATTGTCTCTTTCATATACATATCTTTCATATAGATATTTATGATATAGGTGGAATTCATAAAGACATACGTTCCTGAGGATGCTGAGCTACATCTTATCGGACATTCCATAGGTGCTTGGATTGTACTTAATTTGCTGAAAGACCATGACATCAATAAAAGAATAAAGAAGTGCTACTTATTATTCCCAACGATAGAATATATGGCAGAGACTAATAATGGCTGGATCTTTCATAATATTGCAAGTATCTGAGTATCTTTATAATCATTGCTGTAATATTTGTGATGTACACATGTAAAATTACAAATATTTTTATATATTTTATACAGTTGAAATAATTCTCTTTTCATTTCCAGATATCACGTGTGGCACCACTATGGATCTTCTTATCTTGGATCTTTACAACAATATTTCCATCATTTCTGCAGACATGTTTCATAAGTATTTTCAGCTTCTTTAATGGCATTCCAACAAGATATATCAAGACAATACAGAAAATGCTGAATCCAAAAGCTTTGTATAGAATAATTAATCTCGCAGTAGAGGAACTCAAGTATGTTAAAGAGGCTGACCATGAGACCATATCAAAATACAGTGATAAACTTTGGTTTTATTATGGCGCTTCTGATGGTTGGGTCCCAATTAAGTACTATAAAAACATGATCTCAAAACATCCCAATCTCAATGCTCAATTATGCCAGCGTGGTTTCAAACATTCCTTTGTACTGAAAAACGATATGGACATGGGCCATATTATTGGAGACCTCATCAACAATAGCTGCCTTAAAGATTGATATTTCTCATTAGAGAATTATTAATTTTTATTATTTTTTTTTCTCTGTTACATGGTTGTGAACATTGCATTTCAAATTACTTGAGTATTTTTTTTTATTAGAATAATTTAATATATAAGAATATTATTGTATTTTATTGGTATTAATATTTATATTATTTTTTTATATTAACCAGTAAACACATGATGATACAAAGTATCATCCATATTACAATGTCAGCTCAATCATATAGTATATTATGTAACTGTTTGTTATATAACAAAGTAAAAGTTACATAATATGATAATACCATATGATTGAGCTGACATTGTAACATTGATGATATTTTGTGTTTACCGGGACCTTATATTTTGTGTAAGAGCAAACCAATAGTCTGTAGTATTTAAAAGATAAATTTGCAATATAATATATAATATAATGCAATATAATAAATATTGGATTAAAAATGTATTATCATTATTTTAATACAGTCAATATATATGCAAATACTTTAGTACATTTTAATTCACTCAATATACTAGAATATGTTACATTGTATTAGATTGTATTACTTTATATGCATTAAAATAGATGTAGACAAAATGGACTTTAGCATTACATAGCAATTTCGTTTGTAAATTAAAAACATTTTTTTCCTATTATAGAAATATATAGAAGATGGTGCCGATAACAAGCCCATACCGCCTACAAATTTAAAAATTGTCAATATTAGAGTCACTTTAAGCAGAGTTCGGCCATAACGCGCGGTTTCGGCAAAATCCTGCGAGAAAGAGACATTTTCAATCTCTCTTCTTTCTCTCTCTTTAGTTCTTTTCTCTCTCTTTAGCTGCGTTCCGAAATTCACTGCCAGTGTTGAAATTTTATAGTATACGTAACATGAATTATAGATTTTCGGTACTGACAGTGAATTTCGGAACGCAGCCTTTGAGTGCGTTCGGGGAGCACGCTACCAACGTTACCGCGTTCTTCTATCTTTATCGCTCCTTAAATAAACAATGGGTGCTTCCGAAATACCTAGAGTTGGGTCGAGTTGAGTTGTAGCATGTTCGACTGGCTTTGGGTAGCGATCACGTAACTTCGAGCGGAACTTTTCACTTTTCACTTTTCGCTCTATCGATTTCACGTGAACTTTTTCATTGTTCACGCAATCAAATAACTCTATGCGTGAAAAGCACAAATCACTAAATATGGTTCCTATATGATTTCAATATCGGCCAAATCAGCTATATCCATCGACTGTAGAACATATTAACTTTAAAAACATCGCTATAACCTTAGGATTGTTATGTTTCATGTATCTCATCACAGTAGTAGCATAATATATTCCGCATTCATCATGTCACTAGATTTTCACTTTTCCGCCAGCACATTTGGCTGCGTTCAGAAACCCTACTCGGTGCGCAGAGTAACATTTAATTAGCCAATCAGGGCAAAAAGAACTAAGATTTATTTATCCTGATTGGTTTATTAAAGTAACTCTACCCATCGAGTAGGGTTTCTGAACATAGCTTTTCATGGCTAACAAGTTCACGTGAAAAGTTTCACGTTTCCACGTTTCGCCGAGTTACATGATCACGAGTTCACGTGAAACTTTTCACTTTTCACGTTTCGGCCCTAGGGGAAAAGTTACATGATCGCTGCCCTGGGTTAACCCACTCTGAGTTATTCAGCTTACGTTTATTGGTCGAACAATTACTTATAAGCTTTATGATTGGCTAGTAGAGACTTATGACGTCATTAATCGCTCTCGAAGCGATTAACCCAGGGCCAGTTGAACACGCTATTAGTTCCACTATAGTATATGTGACGGATGCTATAGTGGAACTAACTCGACTCAAATCTGGACATTTTGGAAGCACCCAATGGGTGTTTACGGAAAAGCGCTCCGAGTTAGTTTCAAGTCAGTGATATATATGCTTCTCTATAATCCAAGTATTTCATGTTCTGTCCCAACTCTGTCTGAAATAGTGACCGGATTATTAAGCATATTGGGTGTTTACGTTAAATCGAGTACGAGTTAATTCCACTAGAGTCGAAAAATATAATAGGCACAACCATCTAGTATCTTCATGATTCAAGACAACTCAGTATTGCTGTTTAATACGCGTATCAATTAGTAATTTTATATCTAATTATTTTAATTTCGGCGATGCAATATATTCAATTAATACGATACGTGTTTCTAATCGATATTGCATTACTTCAATATGACATTGTTTATATACATCGCTGAAATCAAAATAATTCAACATAAAATTACTAATTGGTACGCGTATTAAATGTTTGATACAAACATACTATATGAGATTAAACTTATTAATAACTAATATTTTTTGAAAATCAACTACCTGGGAGTCGATTCTGTATCTCGAAACGAAGTGAAAACTACAAAAGTGACCAAATATACTAGAATATTCGTAATTTCATTGGTCAGTGCCTAGTGAATGTGCTCACTTTTATAATTTTCGCTTCGTTTCGAGATACAGAATTGACTCTCTGATGCTCACGTTATCCGCTATGCTACTCTAGCTAACTCTAACTAACTCTACTCGAGCATCGGAAAGCAATACTGAGTTGTCTTAAATCATGAAGATACTAGATGGTTGTGCCTATTACATTTTTCGACCCTAGTGGAACTAACTCGTACTCGATTTAACGTAAACACTCATTATATCTTGCTAGCAGCGTAGAATACAAATTGTTACATCCCGGCGGGTTGCGGCCACGCTGCCGTGAAGAATAGCGCTCGAACCCTAACACGGGATCAGATCACAATTTTTCGGGCTAAACGAATCGCGTGATTCTACCAGGGGATCCTTGCGATCAAGGGTAATCGCGATGGATTTCGCGCAAGACGCGTAGTATAACCACCGTAGTGTAACCTTACGGTGGGTCGGACAATTGCAGGCTTTAATCGTAGTTTCGCGCGTATAGAAATAATGTAGATAATGACTTACCAGTGGTCGTCCACCGTGCAGTTGCTCTTTGTACCCCTGGATGGCGCTCTCGTAGCTTACATGGATCTCCTGGACCTTTAGATGCTGCCGACTCTAGGGAATCTCGTTCTGGATCGCGCGACGGCGAGTTCGAATATTCGAATCACTTGTAATTGACCGATGGGCACTAGGGAGGAACACCGCACGTCGCGGTTTCGCTTAGGCATAGAAGGAAATGTACCGTGTAAGGATGTTCGAATGGGAGGGAGTAGAAATAGAATTACTACAGATAATGCTCACAAAGATATCTTAAGTATGGCTAGAGTAACGGAAGTGACGAAATAACTAAAATGAACTATTTAACAAACTAAAGAATTATGCATTAGAATAAAATGCTCGTAAATGTTTAAGAATGTTAAAGATAACCTAAAGTTAATTGCTTAAGAATTAGAGGGAACTAAGGTTTAGAAGTAGTGAATTAAAGAAATGAAATTTCGAGGTAAGGACTATTTTTGGACTTCCGATCCCGGCACCCGACTCTGACTGAAGGGACGTCTACATTGGAAGAAAACAGTAAGAAGTAGAAAGTAAGAATAAGAAATTGACCAATCATAGTTAATTATTCTTCTCACATTCGACTGTGGTTGGTCAATTTCTTACTTTTACTTTCTACTTCTTGCTATTTACTTCCAATGTAGACGTCCCTTGACTGTTACGCTGGTCACTACTCTACTGCTACTGAGCTTTTGTGATCCCGCCTTTAGGAGGGGGTCTGAATGGTAGGTGATGCCTTCCTTTTGGGAAAGAAAGGTTTCGTTCCTGGAGTGTCTCAGGTAAAAGATTATTTGGACAAAAAATTATCACTGGCTGACAGCCTGGTCGGTCGGACGTGACAAAATATATTAAGTATGTACTGATATATAATATATGTAATAACTGATACGCGTATTTAGTACGCGTATCAAGTGCACGATGTAAACCAAGTCAAAGGCGTTTTTTCGTTTCGTAATCACGGTAGCGTTTGGTTGGTTAGTTTGGTCCACTTAACGCTCGCAACGCCACATGCGTCTTTCTATCTTTGTTGCTCGAGGCGTTGCGAGCATTAAGTGGACCAAACCAAGCAACCAAACGGTATTGTGGTCACAAAACGAAAAAACGCCTTTGTTCACTGTACTCACACTAGTGACACGTCACACACACAGCGTCACATACACACATACATACACAGGACCGCCGCTATTTTCTCGCTATTTTCATACAACCGGAAACCTCATGCGACGCAAATTCGAAGCCTCAGTTAGGAATCTAGGATGTTTTCCAATTGCTTAAAGCCCTATGCACAATACCAGGCAACAGGCAATAGGAATAGACATTAGCCAATAGGAACAGGGAATAGAAATAATTGACCAATCTTATTTCCTATTCCTTGTTGCCTAGCATTGTGCATAGAGCGTAACACATCTTGACACACACGTACACAAAACCAGTTTATTGATCACATATTATCTATAATATCTTGTAAGATAATATGCAACCAATAAACTGGTTTTGTGTAACACAGTACGCAACTGGAAAGCACCCCTAGTTTAGTATAGACATCTATGTATATTAGAGATGCCCGATTTTGAATCGATTAGATTCTTTCCCCAAAAATAAGCTTATTCGTGTTGTTTGCATTCTTCGCACTTTTCGTATTTAAAACCAGACAAAAGTATATTGGAATGTTTGGAAAAAGCAAAAGCGAGACAACCAACTTGTTGATTGTTTCTTTTAAGCGTCTGATTAGGCGTTCATCTCTTTTTAAAAGCAAAAAATATGAAACATGCAAGCAGCACGAACAACCCTTTTTCCCTAAATTTGTTAGAGAAAGAATCGAATCGATTAAGAATCGGGCATTTCTAGTGTATATTAACCAAATGGTAAGAATCAACGGCAAGTCAAACGGACATATATTTTCAGATGCACGACACAACAGTAATTAATTTATTTAATTGCATTAATTAATTATTCGCGCATATGCATGTTTCTGAAATATATTATTATTTTGTGCGATAAATACTAAAAGTTTCGCACTTACGATGTTTCGTATTTGCGTTTCTAGATACGCCATTATTTAGCGCGCATGCGCGGGAAGCGGGGTCACTGCGCACTATCTTGCAGGTTGTTGGTTAGGCTCGGTATTGTCGTCGTCTATAGCACTTGATCATTCGTGGCTTGGACTCGACCACCGGAGGATTGCGTCATTGAAGTTCATCGTCACAAGTGACGTGAAACACGTTGATCGAAATGTCGCGGCTTACTGGAGCGTTTTTGTTGCTGTGCCTGCACGCAGGATTTGCTTATGGTAAAGAATGTGGAATCGTCCAGCGTGCTTGATATGTGGTCGATGTGCTTTGGGGAGTGGCGCGTGTACATTGTGAAACAAAAGACTCCTTACACCTCCGCGTTCGCGGTATTTCTGTAACGAAATGTAACGTCAACGCGTGAGTAAACGAGATGCCGGAAGATGGGGAAAATGGAGAGAACATTCAGAAAAACGCGCGAAGCTTCAACGAGAAAAACGGAGCTGCGAACGCGATTTGTCTCGTGTATACATATATATCGGTCTTTTCTTTTGTACTTCGATAGATACATCGCTATGAAGGACGCCGCACTTGATATCATTTCAGTGTACCCTGATTAAATACCGATCATGAATCAGTACTTTGTTATGTACAATCAGTGACGGGAATTCACAATGCTTCCTCCCAATGCGTTCGCAGCGCATCTGTTGGAAGAATTTGTTTTCTTTTTTACTAATTCTCAGAATATGTTTCTATCAGATATATCAATTCTGAATTTTATCAAAGTAAAAGTGCACTTTTTCTGCTGTTGGCTGTAAGGGAAAACGCCCAGTGGCTTTAGTGACTCAGCCTTGTGCGAATTTCAGTAAGAGATATAAAAAACAAAGAGGATAAATAAAAAAGAGGATTAAAAAACAAAGAATAAATTCTTATATATTTTAATATTTGATAAAATCTGAACAAAAGTGTCAAAAAATGGCGAACGCCATAACAAGTATCGACTACGAACATCAGTCATGAGTCATCACGCGAATTCGTACTTGGCAATCATATAATTCCCTTCCCCCTGTATGAAATTATGAAAAGTGAATAATAGCAGTACATGAAGACGATCGTGGGTCTATTTTTCCAATATAAATTCGTGAAAAGTGAACATTTCTATGTATTTTCAAGATTAGATTTCTTATTTTCACACGCGAAAGGAAAAAAATTTATGATTGATCCTGTTGGATGTTTTCTCCTATTTCCTAGTTCAAAGAACACTGAGAAACAGAATTTTTCGACGATAATATTATGATATTATGACTAATGGGACGAAAGGTTGAGATTGTTCAGACATTGATACCCGAATTACACGATGCTTCTGATCTATAGCTGCGTTCGGCTTTGTAAATCGAAGATGTCGGATTGCTCTTTTACCTCGAAAATGCACAGAAGTGAGAGAGACGCGAGATCTCGTATGCATCTTCGAGATGAAAGAGCAATCCGACGTCTTCGATTTACAACGCCGAACGCAACTTATGTCACATGCACAAGCAGTGTTTCCCAGAATGGTGAAACACATTTTAGATAAGCAGCGCGATTCTTCAAAATTTTTCGGAGAAGAACGCGTTAATACTCATTTGCGATCGCTTTATTTGTTAGGCTGACTTGGCAACTAATTGCATGCATGATAAGATAAATTTATGGACGATGAACGACTCCCATATATGGTTTTCTCGTTCCTCTCGAGGAATTCTCGCAGGATACTCCCGAAGGCCACTTGTTATTGCCGATGAAATCTCCAGCCGCGATACGAACGTCGGCTACCGATTGCGGCATTAGATCTTATCGAGATCAAATGCCCGATATATAATATGTCACTTAACTTCTATTACAGTTCAATCAATTTTTTGTTCCTTCTCAAGTGCCGCGTTACAGACTGAGCTTCGGCAACGTACAGCGGAACTAGGATCAACGTTCGTGGAGTCGGTTTTCTATTGTTGAACCGGTTGCACTAGTTCTCTCTTTCTTCCACCAAGTTTTATCTGTATATCTATCTCTTTTTAAGTTCCGAAAGTGTACACTAGTTCAGCAATAGAAAACAGATTCATTATCGACGTCGACGGAGTCGACCCCTGGTTCTCTTTTCAAACGTTGTCTCGCGCAAAAGAAATGTTCAACTGCTTCGGATATATTGAATTGTGAACAAAATTGATCGCCCAGACTCTCGAAAATAACTTCTGAATTGCCGGCGTGTTGCGCGTTTGCGATTCTCTCTTTTTTTCTTTACTTCCAGGAACGGATGCGTTATCAAATACGTATATCCGATTGCGGTTGTGTATCATGTTATGCTTCCAAGTCGATAACGCAAACTGTAAACTATAACCGTACTTGGCGATCGGGTTACGCAGCGAACGCCATAAATGTCGCTGAGCTATGCCTTCTTAACTTCGGACCGCTTCTGATTTTTAGGACACTAAAATATGGTTTTGGGCAAAATCACGATATGAAAAAAACTTCGATTACAGAGTCAGAGAGCCGTGTGCTTCGATATATACACATTCTGAAATATAAAAATATTTTTATAATAATGAAGCGTCGAAATAAAACGTCTAACAGAGTCAATCATGAATTTTTCGCGTATGAAAATAAGAAATCTAATCTTGAAAATACATAGAAATGTTCACTTTTCACAAATTTATATTGGAGAAATAGACCCACGATCGTCTTCATGCAATTTCGTAGTGGTATCAATGCAACGTTAAAGACAACATATTAGAAAATGTTACACGTTATGGGGTATGCAATAATTTTTTATAAATGATTTTCTCACTAACCGGGTATAAAAATCTTTACAGGTAGAAGTATCGTTATTGCTTCGACGGACAATTTTAATGGAGTTTTCGATTTTCAGGGATGGATTGCAGTTTGGGAAGAAGCTCAAACTTCTTGGAGAAGGTGGTAAACACATGCCCGGGGATCTTAGATAGTAGATCCAAGTCTTACTGCTGCTACGATATACCTAATGACACGGCCTATTGTTGCGACGCCGAAGAGTTTGCGTTGAAAACTGGGTAATCAGTCGTAATTTACTCCCAATGAACCACTCACTTATTCTTGCATGATATCTAATGAAGTAGTTCCAAGAAACGCTCGATTCCATATACTTTACGCACTTTATGCTACAAATGTTTATACGTGTTATCTTTCCTTCGCCCACTAAGTATATAACGTTATTCCTCGTGAAAATTTGAATCGAAAAATACTGAGCAAAAGTATCGAGATATCGGTAGTTTACGAGATATAAGCGATCGAGAAAACAAAATATTTCACAAACTATGCTTCGGACGATCTAGTGTATAGCAAATCCATTTTCTTTGATTAATTTCAAACAAGTGTTATTTAAATAAGTTTTTAATTTAGATGCGTTATATTAAATGTGTTATATTAAATGTTAGAAAGTTGCTATATAAATAAGAGCTTATTTCAAAAATGGAACTTTTCCATTTGGAACTTTTTCATTGGAAGTTTTCCATAAGGAATAACACTATATATTTAGTGGGCGGGGAAAAGATAACACTCTGTATGTATGTGTATATGTATAATCGTCGTTTTAGAGTGCTTTGGAACAATTTTCCATTCAATTATTTTCCATTACTGGTCTTGCATAACTTTGATTGATCTTTAATTATAGATCACTGTATTCGTCATAAAACGCTCGATCAGAATATAAATAAAAAAAACATTCCATTTAAAAAAACATTTGACCTTTGCTTATCCTCTATGCACCTACAAAACCACCTACAAAACAATTATTGACATCACATTATGTGCCCCTCAAAACCAAGCAACTTTTGTTTGGCACTTTTCCTTCTATTGTTAAAAACAAACGAGTTATTCAGGTGACCTGTTTTAAATGCCTCACCCTGTGTGTGTGTGTGTGTTCATATCTCCGTTTATTTATTTATTTATTTATTAACGGGCAATATTTCTTTAAGAGTACAAATAAAACATAAACTAAGAAAAACCACAATTTAACATGTTAATATTTTATCAATCGGAGCTTATTAACAATAGGCTTCCTATTGGTGTCGTTATTATTATTGTATATTAATAATGATATAAAAAACTGACTCGCGCGTAGTGGAAAATATGTCATGGGAAATTACGAATATTCTTATAATTTGTTATTGTATTTCAGACTTGGTATCATCGTGCCTGCGATAATCACAGCAGGTATAGTTATCACACTGATAGTTTGCTGCATATCCTGTCTCTGCTGCAGCTGCTGTCCGTGGTACCGCCGGCGTCATCGAGGCACCGTCTATGGAAGTAAGCTTGTTAAATTTTTTTTAATTAACCTTTTTTTTACGCTCAAATAGTTAACATTATTATTCACGATTTACCTGAATTCCACTTTAGAGGATCCATAATTCGCGATATGTTAGGATCGTAAGTGGAAATGCATCACGAATTATAGATCGTCCGAGGTGGACTTGATGTTAATTTTATCAAATTCGTCGCAATAATGTGCATATAATTTGTGTCAGAGACAGCGGCAATAAATACTTTTTGCGCGAACGCGGTGCTAAGTAAATTGATATTGCGAAATTAAAATTACTCCTAATCTTTCCCTCTTTTTCTTGCATTTTCCTCTCTCTTTCTTCCTTAAATTGGCCAGTAATGATATCGTAATTCTTTTTAGGACCAACCATGGCATAATACCATTCCGACACACCCTTCAAATGCCTTGTGAAGAGTATCTATATATCAGAGCTCGAAAGAGTTTTAACAATTATTTGTATCTCGCTTCCTACACATGTATAATCTCGCATTGAAATAATCCTCGTTGGGAATGTATTTTAATATATTTCATAGTATACACTAATCGCGAAGTGGATTCTCCTTATAAGAATGCTCTCGTATATTGGCACAATATTTTTTATTTCTTTATTTTCTGTTACATTTAATTTTTCTCTTTAGCAGAAGAAATATTGCAAGTCTTGCGTTAAGTTAAAATTGATCAATTGTAGTATTTTTATAAGTAGAATCCGCTGCTGTAGATGTAAGATTATTTGCACAGTGGAAAACAAGTCTGATAGACGCGTAAAGAAGACTACATCGAGTCAATAGCTGTTTTCTAAGTCGCATATTTTTTAATATTTTTATTGATTTCGATAATACTTTGTGTAGTACTAAGCTTACTTAGAGTCTCCTCCGAATTGTACTTAATATGTACATGAATATGTACAAAGTGTTTCATGTAATAGACGTGTCTCTGACAAGAGGAACTGTCAAGACTTTATATTTTTTTATGTTTTCGTTTTTAATTTATAAAATATTATATTCGTAGCATGACAACAGCGCACATTTGTACAAACTACACATAATGAATGTATCTGTACATCTATGCGTAATTAATAATTTCAAGCATTACTATCAAAAGACACGGCAATATTTGCTACAAAGCGCATGAAAAATTATATGGAACACTTTATACGATAGCCATCTTGAATATTATCCTTCGTCATTCACTTAAGTATTCCGAATACGCGCGGACGAAACATTCCTTCCACTTGTGTGAGTCTTTATAATATTGTATTAGATCTGATTTCGAGTTTGAGTCGCATGAATCCTTTGTCTGATTCCGAACATTCCGCGAACGTTTCGTTTCGCTTTATCAGGGTGGAATGACCCGATTAATAATATTATATTATAATATTGTATTATATTATAATATTGTATATTATAATATTGTATATTATAATGTATAATATTATAATGTATTATATTGTATTATATTATAATATTGTATTATGTCGCATCTCTAGCCTAACATGTGAGATTGTAAAAGGTACTATTGTATTCGGAATGCGAGTCATGTACATTCGTTTTGTACTATGGTTTGCACATGTTTTCTTCCATGTAAGTTAGGAGCGCATTAAATATTCACGATTATGCGAGTTACTGCATACTTACTTACGGGCTTGGACGGTACTCGGTTGTGACAGAGTAAATGTGTAATTAGTAATTCTTTATTATACTTTTACCTGACAGATAACAATACAATAAAAAATTATTTTTTTATAATAAAAATCCTTCTATTTTTTTTAATTATTAATTATTAGTTATATTATTACAGCGCAAGCCCGTTGATAATGACTCAATTTTGACAATTTGGTGAGCTCCCAACTTCATTGTATCTAAGCCATTTTGTAACCGTTCTGTGACTATATACATTCCTAAAAAATTATAAATATATAAAAAGAATATACATTTTTTCATATATATATATACATAAAATTTCTCTCTTGATTTGACAAGCACAAATCTCGACATCATAACATACAACTTATCTACCCTATCTAATTGATAAGATACAGTACATGCATATGTATTTATATATTCTCACTTTTTTTTGTTTAGTTTCGTTGATTTGATTCTTGATGCTAGTTTGCTTGCTGTCTCTGAGACAAACGCGCCCATTTTGCGATACGCTCCGGATCCTTTTGTGCCTGTGTATTTGTTGCAGAAGTTCAAGCACCTAATGTTGTACATGTAGTTCAAACTCCGGCGAATTTACCACCGAGTTACACCAGTCAAGGAGATCAAGTACAGAATCACTACGTGCCATATCCAACGAACCCGGCAGGTATTCGATCAAAATTTCTGTGTATAATCCGTAACATACAGAGACAGCGCAAAAATGCATAGACCCACATGAACTAAAACCATGGATTCGGATCCAACTGATGTGCTCTGCTTCAGAGACAACACAAAGCACACAAAAGAAATTCCACCAGACATCTCTTAAGTCTTATATAAGTCTTAACTCTTTTTTTTAAGTCCTGCATTTTTGCGTTGCATCGATAGAAGATATAGAGAGATAAATTGCATAAATAATTCATCATAATTATTTCTCTTCTGTTTCTAAGGTTTTCCACAACATCCACCGCCGCAATATAATGAAGCGTACGCTAAACAGGCTCCTTACAATCCCGCGTATCCTCCACAGTGATCTTCCTAATTTTATAATGATGTATATGGAAATATTATGGACGATATATTTGCAAGGTTCCTTCCTTTTATCCGTTCAAGGATGTGATCTTCACCGTCAAGGCTTGAACGCATCCTATCATATTAAGAAGACGTTGTGTTCATCCACCATTGTATGTCAAAATGCAACCATGTGCATGTTTTCCAAATCTCCGTGTCAGGCCACAAATATTATCTCGTACAAATTCTTATCGCTTAGAAAATACAGAATTGCAGACTTGCTCTACTACTCGGCGATAGTATTTGACGATACTTTTTTTATTTTATTACACGTTTACATGTATTTGTTAAATATATACTCTTTGCTATTTCGAAAAATATTCTATAAGTTTTTCTATAAGTTTCGCGAAGTGGCAGAGCAAAATCAGACGTGACATATTCTCGTCAAGAGAGGAGTTTGATGTGAGAAAGAGAGAAAGAAGCAAGAGAGAGAGAGACAGAGAGAGAGAGAAACTTTGAAAAGAGAGGAAAGGCGAACATATTATTGAACTATTATCACTTGTACAGTACTGAAATGTATCATTGTTGAATTGCAACAAAAGTTGGTCAACTGGAATCATGTACACAACAAGAAGTTAAAATACTCTCGACAAAAATCTATTGACTACTGTAAATAAAATAAAAAGTACAGACTACATATATTGGAGATTTTTGCCTGCATTCATAGTTAGGTCTTAAGTTCATCTTCAGATGCTCTACGGATCATTTTATTAGCTACAGAGCATCTGATGACCTTAAGGAAACCTTAAATATAAGGCCTGACTATGAATATGAGCAATTTAATCCTTCCTTTCTCACCCCGTGCAAAATCCTTTCTTAAACATTCGGAATTCACGTTTTGGAAAATCAATGGGAGCTTGTTAGCGAAGGACTACGGGACTGCGGAACGAGAAAAAGATTTTGAAGAACCGTGTAAAACAGCGTTCATTCGATCCAGTGAAAATCGCGTTATTATTATTCTCAATGCTTTTGATATACAATAATAATCATTATATTATAATTAATTAGGTACAGGAACACTTTATCATTCGTGATATTAATGATCAATTACAATTAAAGATCGTTAGCGACCGCAATGCGCGCATCGCGTTTCCGGGCGCGATTTGGATTACCAAATAAACTGTACGTCGTTGCTATAATGTTTCTTTCGATTTTCCTACAGGGATCACGCGTAGGAAGCGAGCTTCGGCAAATTATAAGGTCGAATCGTCGATCAAGGGCCGCGGCAAGCACAAACGGTGTCTTTCGCGATTTCACATTACATCATACGATTACCTTCACACAACTTAATACCTTCCGCCTCGAGAATTTTATTCTTTCAAGAAAATATCTCTTTTCTTTCACACGAACTTTTTTTTCACGCGGCTTTCACGTGCGCGAATCAACTGGATATTCTTTCTTCTCTTTTACAAATTTATAGACGAATAAAATGTATCAGGCATATCTTTACATATTAGTGCGATCTTCTATTAAAATGTACAATTCTCCATAATGTACATTGTCTCCACGCGAGACGGAGAGTTCTGGCGAAATTTTCGGCGCACGCGCGCGCGCGAGAGAGTATCCGAAAGATTCGATGAACTAAGACTGATAGTGTTCAAACCAAGCGTGACGAGCGGGCCTAGTACGCGCAGAGAGGAAAAAAATCGATTCGCAGGGAACACGAGTCGAACGATACACTTGACGCAATGGTGTCGTTCTGACGGTAAAAAGAAATTATAATGATCAGGATACGACTCGAGAGGAGGAATAGAAATAACATCGGATACATGCTGCTAAACGCTCTCCTCCTAGCTTGGATTGGGCCCCTGTACTGCAATTTATAAATATCTCTTAACCTTCTCTTAGGCTTATCTCGAGCTTATCGCACTAAAAAGGCACATATTTTCGCACCTGATAAAAACATCATTACAATCTAAACGCTAATGATTCCTTTTTTTTTTTCTTTCTCTCCACCGAAGCGTTCGCCGGCTCAATGATGCCAATTGCGCGTTGCTGACAAGATGATACAAAATCGCTCTTCTTACACCGCATTCGGCTGCGTTCTCAGTGCGTGAATTATATCTCGCAATGTAAAAAAAACGACGACGACAATGCTGATCATGATGATGATGAGGATGATGATGATGATGATATGATGATGATGATGGTGATGATGACGACGGCGACGACGACGCGATGATTGTAAATAGTGGCACAACAAAACACGATTCGTAATTTTTCTTAAAAACGCCACCCAAGACGTCACATGTCCCGTACACAAGATATATTACGTATATTAAACCACACACTCGTCACGTAAAATACACGTAATATATGCTTCCTTAGACGCTAATTTGTAATAATATCCTTCCCTACGTAAGTCTATATAGTGCCTACGCGGACCTTACTAAGGCGATCAACTACGCGGACTTTTGTACAGTCGTTCGGAAAACTATGGGAAGTCGTCGAGAGGAAGAAAATTGTTAGTCGGTCACGATGTTCGGGTACGTCGTTGCCGTTTTCGCCCCGTTCTACCCCCCCCCCCCCCCCCAT